AAAAAAAAAAAAAAGAATTCTGGGGGGACGCAATTCAGGCCATAACATCGAGGGTTTCAAACTCAAATGCTTACGGGCCAGACAAGTAACACAGATGAATGAACTGGGCTAGGAAAGACTTTGGCCCTCTCATTATTTTATTTTCCCCCTTTTGACATGGGTAAAAGAGACATGGTAAAAATATTTCACTTTCCCCTTTACTATGTGAAGTACAAGAGCCAGGACATTTGTTCGTGGTGGATCCTCAACTCCTAGAACAAGTGCCTGGCGCCTAGTAGTGCTCAGTAAATGTTCGTTGAGCGAGTGCATGAGCAGAATGGCCCTGGAGGCTGGGGAGTGGCAGGGACCGTAGTGAATTCTGGCTAAGGGGTCAGCTGACACTCAGCTCCAGTCAATTGTTGTCAGATCGCCTGGCATCAGATTTTTATATGAATTTCATTTTTTCAACCATAGCAGCTAATTCACAGAAACTAAAACCATTGTGCAGATCAGTTTGCAGCCACTGCTCTCTAAGGGCACCCAGCTTGAGCCAGCAGAGCAGGCCTCCCCCGGCTCTGCCTGGGGTGCATGCTCTTCCCGTGGAGACAGGAAGCTGGAGGTGGGGGTCTGGGCTCCCCTGCCTGCTCCAGAGACTCAGGGCCCGATGCCTGTGGTTGCCTCTGCAGGAAGGCGATGCGCTGGGCGCCATGGAGAAGCTGTGCCGGCAGCTGACGTACCACCTCAGTCCCCACTCCCAGTGGAGGCGGCACCGGGGGCTGGTCAAGAGGAAGCCGCAGGCCTGGTGAGTCGCGGTTGCCTGAGGTGGGTCTGCGCTGGCCAGCCCGCCTCCTCCCCCTGCCAGCCTCCTTCTACAAGGGCAGCCCAAAGCAAGTCTGTGCCAGGCTGGGCGTGCAGTGCACAGTACCCCCTCCCAGGGCAGGGGGGTGAAGGAAAGAGCTGGAACCAGAGGGGGTTGTCTTGGAAGGCTGCCTGAAGGAGGTGAGATGGAAGAATTCAAGGGCTGGGGAAAGCAGCCAGGAGGACATTCCAGGTGGGTGTCAGCCAGGAGAGAAGCTGGAGGCAGGGCCCTGGTCTGAGTTGAGAGCTGGAGAGTGTGGGCCCATTCAGATGGGGTGGGTGGGGAGAGGGTCGTGAGGAGTTTCTAATTCCTGGTGTGCTGAATGTGAGCACTCCCACTGAACCCCCCAGTTCTCCTGAATGTCCCCTAGGGGCACCCAGACCCCTGCTATGTCCCTGGCCCATGCAGCAGTGAGGACCCTCAGGGCCCCCTGAAGATTGGGGGGTGGGGGCACACGGGACACAGAACCTGTGGGCCAAGACAGTACCATAGGAAGCAAGTGGAAAGGAGCCTGGAAGGAAGGCTTTCTGGAGGAGGAGGCAGCCCTGCCTTTCTTGCAAATGCCCAGGGGGCTGAGTGGCTTTGTTCTGAAAGACTGGCCCGGTCTCCATGCTGCTGGTGGCGCACCCTTCCAGGTGCTGAGACCGGGGAGGCCCCCCACCCGACAAGAAAGAGCTCTAGGTCCTCCTTCCCTTCCGGACACCCAACCCCCAAAGCCTGGAGAGGAGACGGATCCCAGAAAGACTTTCCTAGGTGGAGGAAGAGTGTGAGGTTCTCACAGCGCTAGCCAAAGAGTGGGGCTCCACCTGCACTGAAGGCAGGGCCCACGTATGGGGACAGAGCAGGACAGGAGGGAAGGGCCCATGGAACCTGGAATGCCAGGAGGAGACTGCAGGAGTTAGTTCTTTAGGATTGAAAAGCTGGAAATTTGAGCTCTGCTGGAATCTAGGGGCCTCCTCTTCTGTCTCCCCAACACACACACACAGTCCATTCTTCACTCAGAAGCCTCACCACCTCAGGTAGCTTCCCATTACACGTGAAAGAAATCTAAACAGAACCATATGTGATGGGCCTTCAGGCTGCTCTGGTCTCTCCTCTCCCACTTTCCCTTGCCTAGCCACACAGCCTTCCTGCTGGTTCACAGACACACCAAGCTCTTTCCAGCCTCAGGGCCTTTGCACTTGCCCCCTGCTCTGCTGGAACTTTTACCAAACTTTTCTGATGGCCTGCTTTTTCTTCCAGTGCCAGCTCAAATGTTATGTCCTCACAGAAGCCTTCCCTGAGTAGCCATGCCCTCCAAGCTCCTCTCTCACTTCACTCTCACACTTGTTTGCTATCTCCCCTCTGGTAGAATGAAAACAGGGATCTTGTCCATCTTCACCACTGTGACCCCAGTGCCTAGGACAGCGCCTGGCACACAGCAGGAGCTTAACACACACTGTTCAAGGACTGAACAAGGTAGGGGACATTGCTCTTGCCATTTGACTGGCCATGATCATGCAGCTGGTTAAATGGCGGGGCTGGGCCGGCCCCGTGGCTTAGCGGTTAAGTGCGTGCGCTCCGCTGCTGGCGGCCCAGGTTTGGATCCCGGGAGCACACTGACGCGCTGCTTCTTTGGCCGTGCTGGCGCCGCGTCCCACATGCAGCAACTGGAAGGATGTGTGGCTATGACACACAACTATCTACTAGGGCTTTGGGGGGAAAATAAATAAATAAAATCTTTAAAAAAAAAAAATGGCGGGGCTGAATTCAAACCCTAGGCTCAGGCTGTTAACCACTATACTACCTATTTCCAGGTGTAACAAGCCTGCTTTATTAGTGACATTGATAAGAATAACAGCCAACACTTAAATCACACTGAACAAGTGCCAGGCAGTGTTCCAGGCACTTAGATGTCATGCCTTGAGAGCTTTACCTTCAAACTCCTTGGAGTTGCCCCCCATCAGAGGCAAGATGAGCAAATGTGGGCAGCCTTCCAGCTTCAGGAGATCCCAAGGAGAGGGACTTACCTCGTTTTGCCAAGAGGAAGTCCAAGCTGTGACCTTCAGGTGCTGATGGTTAAGGTAGGCTCTTGGAGCAGGCTGTGAGCCCCCTCTACCTTCCTCTCTCCTTCCAACGACTGGGGCCTCCGGGCTTGCCTGGGATACCTGGAAATGCAGAGCTGTGGCCCCAGAGCAAGGAGCAGGGGAAGAAAGCAGAGCAAGGGGTGGCAGGTGGCAGGCAGTGGAAGGGGGTGGACAGCACTCCGCCTACAGGAGCCAGCAGCTCCCACGAGACTCGGAGCCCCGGTGCCTTCCCTGCCTGCTGGCCTGCGGGCTCATCTGGTGGCGAAGATGGCCTTGAAAGGGGGACCTCAGAGACCTTGCGCCACTCGTGGGGAAGGAGTAAGCTCAGCCCAAGTGAGTAATAATGACAGCAGCAAATATTGATTCATCACTCACCTATACAAGGCACTGTTCTAAAGGCTTTGCATTTATTAGTTCACCTAACAACCCTGTGGTACTCAATCAGCTCCACTTCTCAGGTAAGTCACAGAGCCGCAGAGAGGTTAAGCACTAACTAAAGGTCACATGACTGGGAAGAGAAGGAGTTAAGATGCAAACTCAGGCCTTTGTGGCCCCATGTACCCTTAGTCACTACAGAAGCACTTGGGCCTTTCCCTTGTGGGTCCTCAGGCTCTGGCCAGCTGGGTCCAGCCAGGCTGAGATGTGAGGTAGGGCCAGGGAACCAGAGGTCTCTGGTTTCTCCCATCCCTGGAGTTGCAAGGCGGAGCAGAGGCCAGCTCTTTGGTGGTGGCCACTGCTGCCTCTGGGGAAAAGGCTTGCCCCACTTTCTTGAATCTTGCTTGTCCTTTCTCCCTTCAGCCTCAAGGCTGTCCTGGCCGGGAGCCCTCCAGACAACACAGTGGACCTGTCAGGCATCCCGCTGACCTCCCGAGACCTGGAGCGGGTGACCAGCTACCTGCAGCGCTGCGGGGAGCAGGTGGATAGCGTGGAGCTGGGCTTCACAGGCCTCACAGATGACATGGTCCTGCAGCTGCTGCCAGCACTCAGCACACTACCCCGCCTCACCACACTAGCGCTCAATGGCAACCGGTTGACCCGGGCCCTGCTGCGCGACCTCACCGACACCCTTAAGGACCCCAGCAAGTTTCCCAGTGTCACGTGGATCGACCTGGGCAACAATGTAGACATCTTCTCATTGCCCCAGCCCTTCCTGCTCAGCCTGCGCAAGCGCTCCCCAAAGCAGGGCCACCTACCCACCATCCTGGAGCTGGGCGAGGGCCCAGGCGGTGGGGAAGAGGCCCGGGATGGGACACTGGGCCAAGAGGACCCTGGAGGGGGCCCTCTGGCCCCTGCCAAAGACCACGAGGGCAAGGAGACTGTAGGTGCAGCCCAAACGTGATACACAAGTGGGGGACCTCACCAGGGAGCCCCTGTGGAGTAGGATGGCTGAGGCAGGCTAGGGGCTCCTACCAGGGGACTCAGGCTACCACCCAGAATTGGCCTGGGCAGCCCCACCCTTGGGAAGCCAGCATGTAGGATCTGGGAAAGGGGGATTGTGTAATACTTCTCTTTGGTCCTCTGCATTTCCTTGTCAATCCCATTATCTGCCTTTTGGCTCCTAAAGAGTCATCACTGGCTCAAAGGGCATCAGCCCCTAGCCACCCCCAGACTTGTGGGCACAGTGTACAGTTTGGAGATGCTGGAAGCTTCAGTTAATGTGAATCCTAAGAGCCTTCCCCCAGAAAAGGAGTGTGGTTCAGGTCCTACATCCACCCCAGGATTTCCCAATTCTCCATTACACTTGTTCTATTCAGAGCAGCAAACTCCAGCCAGATGCTAAATGTGCTCCTGCTTGAGGCAAGTTTTCCAACCTTTACCCTAACTTCTGGCTGAAGGCTGGTGTAGGGGTCTGGCTGCCCGAGACCCCAGGACCTAGTCCCTATCTGGACTGAAGGCTGTCTACCTCCTCGTTGTGGAGACCCAAGTCCCTGAGAACCAACTTCCCAGCCTCAGCCTTCATTTGAGGCCCACCCCTCAACCTGTGATTCCAGGGCCTGCCCAAGAGACCAGCCACCCTATACCCTTCAATATTTAGAGCATCCTAGGGTGCCTACACACAGGCACACATGCCAAGTCCCATTCACAAACCCTGCCAGAAAATCACGAGGGTTCCAGTGTTGCTCGAGAACAGGCCTGAGTGAGTTGCTTCCTTTAAAAATTCCTCCTCATGGAGTCCCTGAAATAATCCTTGATATTTTGAGCACATTTCCAAAAACCTACTAAGGAAGACTCTTATAAACCCAGGACCATTCAATGAGATTAAGAGCATTTCCCCCAGTTCCTGGCAGATGTAGTGCCTCCAAGCCAAGATGGCTGGGAGAAAGGGAAAAATAAACCCGAGGTTCCCAGAGGGAGTAAGCAAGCAAGTTTTCACCCAACCTTCCCCTTGCCCAAGGCCTACCAGTTAAAAAAAAAAAATCCCTTCTAGGCACAATAAGCCCTAGACCCAAGTCCTGACAGCAAGTCCAGGGAGACTGGAAACCAGTCTTAAGCTGGAGAAAATTGGTCCAGGCGCCCAAAGTTGGTGACCCAGACCCCTCAGGCAAATGTCAGCAATGGCTAGAGAAGCACACAGCCTGACAGGCCTCTAGCCTCATGCCAGGTAAGCGAGATGCCAACACAGCAAGGCAGCGACGCGTGGGCTAGGTTAAGAGCCGCACTATGGGACCTTGCCTGCTACTGCCAAAGGGTTTGGCTAGGCAGGTGTAGAACTTCAGGAGGTAGAGGAAGGCTATGGGAAGGGACAGAAACTGGAATCAAGTGTGTGGATGCCTTAAATGCTTTGGAATTTTTACCCTCAAAGTCTGAAGTTGTTACAGAGGGGAAAACAGCTTAGACTGACCATAGGGAAGCTGACAAGTACTAATACCTGTACTGCTACTATCCAACAGCAGTAATCAAATTTAACTTTTTCTTCAAATACACATTTTTAAGAACCAATACCAAAGACCATCCTTTATTACAGTATTAGTTTATGGTAACTGCATGGGACTATTTCAGCAAGAAATAAGTCCCCAGCTTAAAGATAACAAATTTATACAGTATTAAATAAAAAGTACAGAAGGAAGCTCCTTTTGGGCAAGGGACAATACTAGAAAACTCATGAACTTAACAACACCAAATGTGCCTGTCCCAGAAAAAGGTTGCTAAGAACAGCCTCTCTGATACTCAACACAAGGTGAGCATGTTTCTACATCAAATGTTGAAAGCGAGGTTTTGAAGAGTCCAAATTGATGCTGGCCACCGGTCCATGGGACTTCAAATTCTGCCCCTGCCACAGCATGACTGACCATCGTCTGCGAAAATAACCTTTGCTTGGGCTGAGCTGCCCCCGCCCATAGCTTTAAGACTCTACTGCTGATCACCATTCTTCAGCACTCACAACATGGGGGAATGAATTAAGGCACCCCTAGACAGACAGCAGATGCCAAAAGCATAACAGTAGTCAGTTCTGATCATGACGACAGCCTCAACTACAAATTTACAAACTTAAGTCCATCCTAACAGGAATCCTTAAAAACCTACTGGAGGTGCTTTTTTGTAAATTAAGCCATGTGAGCCTACAAGTCCTAACTGGCTTCTTTGGGTATTGTAACCTCCATTCAATCACATTATTTTAACTATCACAAACCTAAAGCTATGATTTTCAAAGATGAAGAAAATTACCATCTCAGCAGATAGGCAATTTGCTCAGGATTATAAAGCTGTGAGATAAAAAGGAACTCCTGCATTTGCCTTGCACTTTGTTCCACTGCCATGAACCAAAAATACGTATCTCTGGGATACTGTCAATAAAGGTCAAGGGATATACTGATACCAGGTATTCGGTTAACCAGACCAAACTGCCAATATCTGACCCAACAGTAATTTCACATGATTCAACTTAACAGGTAGGCATACTCCATCACTAACTTCTCCACAGACCAAAGCTTACCTCATAGCAGGCCATGGCGCCTCACCCCAATACTCAGCTGTTGGTGATCACACACTGGCAACCCTTCACTAATTTGCAATCTGCGTGGATATAGAAATTAAGGGTCACAGTTCACACCAGCTTACACCTGGGCACCAGCAACTCGTGAGGACATGTTGACTGCAGTCAGCCAGGAACTGTTATCGTCAGTTATCGCTTCTGACGGCACTTCCTATTAGTGGTTTCATCAGAGCAGTCAAGCACCTCACCACTCCCTGGTACTGCTCCCGAGACCTGGACATTCATTGGAATTAAACTCCAAATGCCTTAGAAGCAGCCAGGAGACATTTGAATGGAGTTTGTTTCTGAGTATGGCTGCGGCTTAAACAGTTCTAAGCTAGGAGCAGCCATCTCCGATCTCTATTTGAGGTCCACCCTATGCAATGCGGTGGTGCGTTAATTACGTTCAATGCCTTCAAAGTGCAACTGTAAGCACCAGGCAATGTCAGTGCACTCAAGGCAACAAAAACGATAGAACTCAATTACATATTCTACCTAGACGAGGTCTTACCTCAGGGTGGGATACTGTTCCTGGTACGCTCAGCAGCGGGTCTGCCATCTGAAACACAGACCAAGACAGGCGTTTAGGGCAGATTCTGGCAGTTACATTCAACTGTCGAGGTCTCGGCGACTGCGGTCAGATAGACATAAAAGTCGTCAGTTATCGCTTCTGACGGCACTTCCTAACATTAGTATCATCAGGACAGTCAAGCACGTCTTCCTCCGAGCCCATTGCAAACCACCCCCCGCACGTGTGGCGCCCCGGGTGCAGGCAGACCCCCACTCACCCAGTTCTCTCGGGGCTGCGCAGTCCCCGCGACGGGCCCGGGTAACGGGGGCCCGGCCTTCGAGGACCTAGGCTCCCGAGACGGCGGCGGCCCTCCCGGACGCACACACACGCGGTCCATGAGCTTCGGCCCACGGCGGCCCTGCGAGACGATCCAACACCGGCCACCGCGCCGCCCCGAAGCCCACGTGGGCGCAGGCGCCGGGAGACGCGCCCTTACAGAGCCGCCCGCCGCCCTCAAAGTGAGCGTCCCGAAAACATTTTTCTACAAACTAGAGAGGTTCTAGCTCATTTACCCTCACCGCCAGCAACTAGCCCCAGATAGACACAGAGCCTACCACGCCGACAACTATAATGGAAAGGTCGCTGTAGCTGGGTTCAAGGCCCTTAAGGAACCAGAACATTCCATTCCTCATAGAAGAGAGGGTGGCACTGGCAAAGACTCACGGGAACTTCCAGCACATTTAACGTGCAGACTCCACCGCACCACCCAAGGACACCCCCTCTTATAGATCCTATGGTCTCTTCCACGGCCCGGGGAATTCTGGGTCAAGAGTTCCAGGGCGCCTGCGCGGGGGCTTGAGCGCGGTTGCAGGAATAGGGTCCCGCCTCCGCCTGTTAGCTCCCAGGTCTTGATCAAACTAGTCCTCCTCTGTGAGCTTCCGATTGCTCATCTGGTTAAGTGGAGCTATCGCACCACAGAAGGTGTTTGTGAGGATCACATGATACAACACACTTGAAACCCTGCAGAGCTTGGCACGCAGCGAGCATTCATAAATAGCAGCTGCTCCTCCCCACAACTATTTCAAAATATCCATGGAGCTTCTCAAAACCCTGCTGCACTGACAGCTCGCATCACTCCTCTTTAGAATGACTTCTAAGGAGCGAGCAGACGTCTTATCTGGATCCACTTGCTCCCCTTCTCCTCTCCTGGTTCCTCAGGACTCCTCCATCCCTGCCCCTAACTCACCAGCCATGGAAACCTCTCCTCTGAATGCTTTCCTTTCAGCATATGAGCATGCTCAGATCTTTCCGACTGAAAACATATTCAATCCATGCATACACGTTTTATAAACACACGTTACACAAAAGGAGAGCAATTCATTTTGACTGGAGAAAACTGGAAAAGATAGTGAAACAACTTTCGAGCAGGTCTTAGAATTTGAAAGATTTTATAGGGGGGGAGGGGGAGCTTCTAGCAAGAGACAAGTCAAGGGGTCAAATACACATGAGTTCCATAAGCTTGCGTGAAGAATTTAATGAAAATGCTAAGGAGAGCGTGGGAGGCAGCAGGGGTATGGGGGAAGAGGGGTCTGGAATGCCTGGGCAAAACCGTGGTGGGCTGGGGATGCCAGATGGGGCATCCTGGGGGCACTGGGGGAGCCTCTTAAGCCTTCAGAGCACAGGGGTGACTTGTTTCTTATCTGTCTTAGGAAGGCCCCTCTGGCTGCCCCACAGAGAACAGCTTGGAGGGGTGGAACTGAGCAGGCAGCCCGGAAGGGAGAGAAAGTGACAATCCAGAGCCTGAACTAAGCCGAGGAGCTCAAAGGCTTTGAGACACATCTTGGGGTGGCTTTAAAGGGTGTCTGGAAGGTGGGGAGAGGGAGGAGAGATGGCTGTGCTTGCTGGCATCCACCGCCATACAGTGAGCATAGCACCTCAGCCTGTACCCAGGCAGAGGACAGCCCTGAGGCTGAGGGCAGCAAGTGAGGGTCTTCTGTGCCCAGGCAAGGGCGGGAGCGGCCTAGCCCCAGACATAGACATGTGCTCAAAGAGACATGCAGATGTCAACCGGCCCAAGGGCCCAGTAACTTTGCTCAAATAATGTCTCCAGGAGAATTAGTCACAAGACAATATTTATTTGCCACCAAAGTTCCCCAGATCCAGCAGGTAGGGCTAGAAAAATTCTGTAGCTCTGTCTGCCGGCCTCCTGCTGCATCTGGGCCATCAGTGGGACTCCAGGAGCTGGAGGGGCAGACAATCTTCCTCTGAGGCATTGTCCTCCCCTGGTTGGGAGGTCAGGACTGGTTTCTTCATGGTACCTGTAAACAGGATGAAGAGCACTGTGGCTTGGCCCTTGGGTGTGTCTCCAGGAGGCAGGTGCCAGGGAAACAGGAGGAGGCCACAGCTACGAAACCACATCATGCCCTGTGAACAGTAGGTGAACCTGGAGTCCCCAGCAATCCCTCTCCCTGCCTCCCTCCTTCCACAAGCATTTCCTGAACCCCTGCCATGTGCCAGTCAGGGGCCTCCTCCCAGGAGCTTAAAGTCACTGGAGGTGACAGGCTTTTGTGTTAGAAACCAGAACATCTGAGACTTGCTGAAGAGCTGGAGGGAAGTGAGAGTTAGGTGCTCAGGGAGCTCAGAGGAGAGAGGGGACCCAACCCGTAGAGGAGGTGGCAGATTTGGACACCCAGAGGAGCAGGAAGGGCACTTCCGATAGAGACAGAGCCAAGGAAATCAAAGAACAAGGAGCACTGTAGAGGGACCGGCTGTCACATGGAGGGAGGTGTGGGAATGGGTGGACAACAGCTTTCGGCCTTGACCTCCACACTGAGGCGTGTGGCCTTCCAGGCAGTGGGAGGCGTTGTATAGTGTGGGCCGTGTGTAATTTTTGTCTACATTAGAGAGACTGGAGTCATAAGGCTGGAGCAGAAAGACTTGTCTGAAGGTCTGGATACAGGCTGAGCAGCCCTGCAGTGGTGCAGAAGTGGGAGAAATGAGGGGCAGGGGCAGAGGGGTGAGAGGCTGCCTGGCAGGTCCCGAGGATACTCAGCACCAAGGCGGGACAGAGGCAGAGAGCCTCAAGGCCTCCCACCTAGGTGAGAAGGAGGTGGGATTACATATATGTTAGCTGGTAGGGCAGCCCTAAGGCTGTTCCCGTTGGGGATGTTCAGTTGGAGGCCCCAGCAGGCAGTGGGGTATGGGATTGGGGTGTGGAATGCTTGGGGCAAGATGAGGGGCAAAGTGACTTCCAGAGTCTTGGCATTCAAGCGATGGGGTCACAGGACTCGGAGGAAGGGAGACACAGAGAGGGTAGGCAGGAAACCTATCGGTTTATGAGGGCCATGGTCAGGGACCCAGGAGCCTGGGAAACCAGGCTTTGGAGCAGGAGGCCAGAGGAACCTCCCTCTACAGGGGTCATAGGTAGCTGTTGTGGGGAGGGGTCAGGGCCACAGGCACAAGCAAGTGAGATCTGTCAGAAAGAGAATGAGAAAGGAGAGGAGGAGAGCCAACGAAAGACTTGAGGTGGGGCTACTGAACATTCCAGAAAGGGCATGCTGTGGAGAGAGCTAATCCTCGGAACATGCCTCTGGCAGGGAGGAAGGAGTCAGTCTTGGTGGGAGGCAGCAGGGTGGAGACAGGAGGGGCCATCACCACACTAGAATGGAGAGGCCGCGGGCCATGAGAGGTGCAGAAAGGCATAGGGAGCGGCTTCTCCTCAGAGGTGTGGGGGCTGGGGGCACAAAGGGGCTCGGGGCTTGTGTAGTGGGGGAAAGCTCGTGGTCAGCAAGGCTGGCCTGTCAGACAAGGCAGAGCCAGTGGGGACTCAGGGAGATATCACCTAAGCTGTGGGATAGGTAGGGGGTCCTCCCTAACTTGTTCCCTCACTGGGTCCCCAGACTCAGCCCAGGCCTGGCACTCAAGGACCGACTGAATGGGCAAAGGATGCAGCCGATTGGAACCCGGCCTGGAGGTGATGGAGATGAGGAGGCGGGAGGTGAGGGCAGGGCGAAGGCTGGGCTGGAGGAGGCACTAAGAGCCCCGGAGGTTTTCCCAGATGACTGACTGCCTGAAGACAGGCCAGGGAGGAGGTGGGGGTGGAAAGGAAAAGAGAGGAGCAGCATTTTAAGGGGGGCGATCCCTTTAAATGAGTGGAGATGGGGAGTGGCCATGGAGGAGGTCCTGCCTTACTCCCTGTAGCTGTGTGACCAAGCACACACACACATGCACACACGCACACGCACACGCATACTCTCCAGGGCAGGGCTACTCACCAGGAGCACCTGGCCCTGATGGCTCCTCGCACACTGTGGGCAGCGTCTGCTCCCATGCAGCCCAGTTCACTTCCTCCACCCTGAGGGCGACAGAGCAGCTCTGAGGCTCCAGGAAGCCAATGGTGCAGAGGCGGGTGGACACAGGACAGCAAGGAGGATGGGGCTTCTCTGCCCTTCTCCACAGGACACTGGGCCACCCACCACCCCACCTGAGCCCTGTCCTTGCAGCGATCAGACTGCTGCCCCCTGGGTCAGGTGCATCCTGAACATCTAGAGAAGAGTTTAGATCAGGTGTGTCTCTGTGTTCCTGGGTTCTGGGGCCCTTTTGTGGCTGCTCCACATGCCCGAGACCCTCCCCTCTCCGTGTTTAACTGCTCTCTAAGGATGTGTGTTTCTGGCTGTGCATTAGTCACCGCGTTCCCTCTCCCATGGAAGAGTTTGTTCTCTGTGGAAGGGCTGTAGCCTCCGTGGTCAGGCTGGGGGTGTTGGGAGGGCAGAGCAGACCAGCCTGGGCAAGGCTAGTGTGCTGTAACCTGAGGGTCCCTCTAGCTTCTTTGCCTCCTGACTGTACCCTATTTCAGACCAGAAGGAGTAGGTCAGGGACCACCAGGGAGGAACCTTCAGTTTAAGCCAGTGGGACAGGCAGATGGCCAGACAGGCAGAGCGACAGGTAGCGGCAGCCCCGGGCCTATGAGGTCCAGCATCCCTGACCTCACCTGCCCAGGGCAGAGTCCCCTGGTGCTCCTAGGCCCTGCCTTTCCCATCGGACCTGGCTCCTGGCAGCCATCCCTGGCATTCAGGAGAGGAAGGCGGGCCTGCACTGTGGGCAGGCTCTAGGGATCCCTTGGTCAGCAAGGCCCCCAGGCCGCCCTCCCCCGCCTGCTCACTCACCTGAAGCACCAGCGCTCGTCGGGGCTCCCATCCGGCCTGGTGCCGACTGTCAGCAACACACCTGCCCGCTGCTTCTTCCTCCTGCACCACCAGTAGCCATTCTCCATCTCCAGGACAGAGATGGCTTTCTGGGGACAAAGGACACATCAGACAGAACAGCCAGGAAGATGCACCACAGCACCTTACAGTATACCCCAAAGTCCCCTAAGCACATGGATTTGAATCCGGCTCCAATGTTTGATTAGCGGTGCGATGCCTTCAACCCCTCTGACTCTGAGTTTCCCCGTACAGACGGATGGGTGCTGGGAAGTCAGCACATCATGGGTGCTCAACAGTCACTTGTTATTGCACGGTCACAGGTTCCAGAGTTCCACACCACCAGGTACACATCTTCATTTGCTCTACCCCACACACAATGTGCCCGCCCATCAGCACATGAGCAAGTTAGGCGGGACACAGAAATTTACAGGGGAGGACATGGAGGCTCAGAGAAGGTAAGGGGCTCGCCCAAGGTCAGAAGTGAATTGAGGGGCCGGCCCCGTGGCTTAGCGGTTAAGTGCGCGTGCTCCACTACTGGCGGCCCGGGTTCGGATCCTAGACGTGCACCAACGCACCGCTTCTCCTGCCATGCTGAGGCGGCATCCCACATACAGCAACTAGAAGGATGTGCAACTACAACATACAACTATCTACTGGGGCTTTGGGGGAAAAAAAGGAGGAGGATTGGCAATAGATGTTAGCTCAGGGCTGGTCTTCCTCAGCAAAAAGAGGAGGATTAGCATGGATGTTAGCTCAGGGCTGATCTTCCTCACACACACAAAAAAAAAGTGAATTGGTAACAGAGTCCAGCCTCCTGGGCAAGGATCTCCTCGCACCAACCACCCAGACCCACCCCAACCCTCCTCCAGTTGAGAAGCAGCTATTGCTTCCACCATAGGCAGCTGTCATATCAGCCCCCAGCTACAGGGGCCTCTGCTCCCCCAACTCTCCCAGCCTGGGCCAGCCCCAGGATTGCACATCTTGCCTGCCTCGCCACTAAACTGACCCCACGTAACATACAATGAACACAGAATGGATGCTGCATGAGGGCAGGGACTTTGTCTTGTTCTCTGCTGTGTATTTAGCACCTAGAGCTGAGCCTAGCCCCGTAGTAGACACTCAGGAAATACTTACTGATAATGACAATGATGATCACTAACACACTGAGCCTACTATGTGCCAGGCACTGTCCTAAGGGCTTTAGATCTATGAGCTTATTGGATCCTCACATCAACACTATGAAGGAAGGAATGGATAAGGGAGACTTCAATAAGGGCCCGGGACCTACTCGGGAGGCCCAGCTCAGCTGGGTCCTGCATGCTCCTCATGGGGCCCAGAACTTGGGGAGGGAGAGGGGGGCCTCTCTGTGACACCTGCAGCTTCCAGATGCTCCAGCTGTCGGTGGCCACGCTGTTGACGGTCTCGCTCATGAGGGCGATGAGCATGTTGAGCAGCAGGACGTAGGTGAGCAGCACATAGGCCAGCAGCAGCAGCAGCACCACCCCACGGAAGCGCAGCTGGTCCTGGAAGGCCAGCTCGCCCATGCCGATGGTGAATTTGAAGAGCTCCAAGGAGGCGTCCAGGATGCCCCTGTATGGGGCCGTGCTGCCCTCCTCATCCTGTCCCGTCCCAGACCGCACTGCTTCCGTGACATTGGAGCCTGTGGGGTCCTGGGGGACCCGGGCCTCCCGGCTGAGGCTCACCAGGGCTGCGGGAGGGAGGAAGCAGAGTCCTCAGCCTGGGGAGGCCAGTGGGCAGCTTTGAGGGTATACAGGGTGGGCAAGGGATGGATGGGGCCAGAGGGGGTCTTTACCTACAGCAAAGCCAAAAAGGAAGACTAAGTAGACCAGAAGGAAGCGGAGCAGGTCCCGCAGGATGACCTAGAACACACGCCCAGGAGCTGGGTGGGTGGCTGGGCCACTGGGCATGATGCCAGACCCCCGTCTCAGCCCCCAGCATGGTTCCCATGTACACCCGCCCACACACACACACATACACAAACATGTGCATACACGAGACTGTGGAGCCACACTGAGCAGATGAGTCTTTAAAAAATCTACATCAGGTCACCTTATTTTCCTGCTTAAAACCCTCCAGGGTCAAAAATTAAACACGGAATGGCCATATGATCCAGCAACTCCATGTCTGGGTCTACACCCAAAAGACCGAAAGCAGGGACTCAAAGGGATATTTGTGCACCATGTTCACAGCAGCACTATTCACAGTAGCCAAAAGGTAGAAACACCCAAGTGTCCATCACTGGATGAATGGATAAACAAAATGTGGTATATCCATACAATGGAATATTATTCAGCCTTGAAAAGGAAGGGAATGCTACAACATGGATGAACCTTGAGGACATTAAACTGAGTGAAATAAGACAGACACAAAGGGACAAACACTGTATGATTCCACTTATATGAGGTCCTTAGAGTCGTCAGATTCATAGAGACAGAAAGTAGAAGGGTGGTTGTCAGGTGCTGGGGGAAGGGGGTGGGGAGTTAATGTTGAATGGGGACAGAATTTCAGTTTGGAATGATGAAAAAGTTCTGGAGATGGATGGCGGTGATGGTTGCACAACAATGTGAATGTACTTAATACCACTGAACTGTGCACTTAAAAATGGTTAAAATGGTAAATTTTGTTATATGTATTTTACCACAATTTAAAAAAACAAAGGAAAAATCCTCCAGGGGCCTCCAGACCCCTCTCCATGGCCAAAAAAGCCCCGGTCCCATACCTTCCCCCCAGCTTCCCTTCCCTTCCCCTTCCCCACCCTCCCTCACTCTCGCCAGCCTCCTCACTCCGGCCCAAACACTCCAGGCTTGTTCTGGCTCCTGGTCTTTGCTGTTCCCTTTGCCTTGAATGTTCCTTTTGCCTTCTTCCTTGAGTGTAGGTGACTGAATCATTCCTTCGAGTGTCAGCTTAAACGTCACCTCTCCAGAGAGGCCTCCCAGACCATCTTATCTAAAGCACCCCCTGCCCAAGTCATTCTCCATCACACTCTCCTATGTATTTTCTTCATAGAATTTAGCAGTCTGTAATGTTCTCATCTGTTTTCTTAGTGTTTTTGTTTCCTCCACTAGAATGTCAGCTTCAGGAGAACGAGGACTTGTCTATTTTGTTAGTGAACAAATAGTGTATTCCCAACACTTAGAACAGGGCCTGGCCCATATCTAGTATGCACTCCTAAACATCTGTTGAATAAATAAATGAATGCAGACACATACCTATGCCCGGATGTCCCAGGGCACAGGCAAACAGATGAGCTTATGTGCATAGTCTCTGCTCCTCTGGTGTGCAAGGATGCATATGCCCCCGTGGGGACACTTGCAAACACACACGTTTGCTTGCTTACCCGTGCAGAGCACAGACCCCTGAGAGCAGGTGTGTACACACCCATACTCCTGCTTACATTCAGTGAGCCTCGGGGTGCATGGTGCACAGGCAGACACGCTCATGTCCTCCTCTGCCCAGGTTAGCTGTGGAGGAAGGCGCCTCCCTGCTGAGGCTAAAAGGAGTCCTGCTGGAGTGTGGTGTCCAGCCCTGCCCAGTCTGGCTGCATGGAGGCCAACCTATCTCTCACCTTCTGGATCATGACGCTGTAGATGCCTGTGTGCTGCAAGCCACGTGTATAGTAAAGCAGGTTCAGCCAGCACAACACCAGTGAGGACACAAGCAGCGGCAGGTACCACTCGACAGCCAGGAAACACAGCACCTGGGACAGCACTGTGAGCAGGGCCTGGACCAGGCTGCGTGAGGGCAGGGCAGGGTCAGCTTGCAGGCCACTTGGCAAGGCTCCCCTGGCCCCCACTGGCCACTGCTGACCACCACTGCCTCTCCCACTGCAGTCTCATGGATGAGAAGTTCCCCATTTATCTGGGGCTGGACCCAATCAGGTCCTCGCCTCCATCTTGGGCAGGTCATATAACTCCTGTGGGCCTCAGTTCCCTCCTCTATAAAATGGGGTGACAGTAATAACGTCTGACTCATAGAGCGTTAGTGAGATTCGAATGAGACACGACATGTAAAGAGCTCAGACTCCGCTGGTGCATAGCAAGGGCTCGGTAAACATCACTCTCACCATCATGATCTACAACGACGGGAGCATGGAGAGCCCCAGGCTGGACGGCCCTGGACTCCTGAGTCTGGCCTGCACTCTGGTCCTAGGTGCCTGGAACTCCCTGGTCCCAGGTCCTTGCCTCCGAAGCCAGCCTGGTGCCCTCTGCCACACCCGCCTTTCCCAGGCCTGAGACAGGGGAGGAAGAGTGAGGCCCCACGTACAAGAGGATTTCAAAGTAGCTGTCCATGAGCGAGATCCAGATGAACAGACGGCGCCTCCAGAAGTACCACAGCTGCGGGGAAGGGAGGGGGCAGGGGTGTACAACTTGCTCTCCAGGCACAACTCGGCCCTGCTGCCCTCAGGAGCTGGGCCAGGGATTCCTGTCATGCTCCCTGCCTGCTGGCCTGGCCGTGGGGGAGCCTGACCAGGACCACCTCGGGGACTCAGGCAGCAGCTTTGACTTTTGAGGGGGATCATGAATCCTGCTGATAGCTGAGAAAGCTCTGGAGCCTGTTTCCAAAAAGTGCAGCCCCCCCACAGATACCCAGACAAATCCAGGGGCCTCCTGGGGATCCAGATGAAGAGCTCTGCACTACATACGGTGAGGCGAGAGCGCCTTTCCCTCCGAGGGACCACCCTGTACTCCAGCCGACCTGGATTTGGTACCCCAAGTCCTGCCCACTCTGAGAGTCTCAGGGTCAGAGTGCCCAGCCTATCTCCTGCAAGCTTGCAGCATTTTCTACTGAAGAGGCGCTGCTGGGGGAGTTGGGCTGAGACCCACCTGCCCCCACCCTTCTGTGCTCTCCAAGTGAGGAATGCCCCAGCCAAGGGACCTGGGGGCAAGGGCTTCCAGCTCGATTCCTGGGGAGCAGAGCCAGCACTGGCAAGGAATCACAGGAGCCATTTGCTACTCCATGGGCACCCCAAAAGTCACAGCAGGGAGGGCATCCAGCCCCAGAAGGCAAGGCCAGAACCCACGGCCTTCAACTGCCCTGAGGCTGATCAGTGTGGCCCTGGGTATGGGATTTGGTTTCCCCTAGATGAAGAGGTTGTGGTTAACTCGCTCTAAGGCTCCTTACGGAAGAATTCTAGGTTTGCTTCTGGGGGGGCTGGGAGCCACGTGGGGTGGGGGAGTGGGAAGAGCCCTCACCTGGCCCACGAGGAGGTAGACCCCCCCAAGCAGGATCAGGATGTGGCCCAGTAGCAGCATGGAGTTTCCGCCTGTTACTCTCATGAGGGAGAAGGCCTGCTGAAGAGACACTTGGGTAGGACCTAGAGGCTTGGGTCCTCTCCCAACAACTCACTCTTAGAGATAGAGCCAAGGGCCCGTTCAAAGCCTGAGCTGTGGAAAGGCCACTCAGAGCAGCAGAGGGAACATGAGCTCCAGGGCAGGATTCCAGTCTATTGAGAGGCATGCTGTGTAGTGGTTGTGAGCGTGGGGTCTGCCAGACTGTCTGGGTTCAGATCTCATCTCCACCACTTATAGCCTGTGTGACCCTGCATAAGTTACTTAACCTCTCTGTGCCTCACTTCCCTCAACTGTAAACTGGGGATGATAATAGTTCATCATCTCAGAGGGTTGTTGTGAGCAGTAAATAAATTAACATGTCAATCACTTAGAATACTTTCTCACATATGGTGTGCACTCAGTAAGTAGTAAGTACTATCATTGTTATTACTACGGTGCTGGCTTCCATACTACCTGCGGCTGTGTAAGAGCCTGGGTGTATCCCTCAGGCAGTCAAAGCCTCCGTCTTATCATTTGCAGGATGGGGGTGGTAATCCCTGCCCCTTCTTCTTCCAGGACACCTCCCCAGGATGCGCCCTCTCCCGGCCTTGCCTTCTCCAGGGCAGGCTGGTGGTAGGCCACAATGGTGAAGATGAGCATGTAGATCAAGTGACACAGGAAGTTGAAGAAGAACCTGGGCATGAGCAGGTCCCATTTCGCCTGCAGTAGCTTGTTCAGTGGCTCCAAAACCACCATTCGGTGTCGGTGCTAGGGTGGAATGTGAGAGCCAGGGGGACATTCAACAAGCAGATATTGGGGATCCACTCATGTTGGGCTCAGTGCAAGGGCTGAGGGAAACAGAAGGGAGAGGACGGGAGCCCCCAGTGACCCCTCCCCACCTGCCTCCACCCCACCCTCACCCTGGAGTGGGTGGGCTCTGGAGTGACCCAGGGCCTCTCCCTCCAATTCAGAGCAGGTGCTGGTCAACAGGCCCTCAGTGCTTGCCGCCAGGACCCTGGCATGATTCTCGTGTCGGGTGGGACCCGTGTGTAGAATGAGTGTGGGCCCAGCGGCCGGGGTCAGGACCTGCAGCCACACCCCCACTGGCACAGGAACAGGGCAGGTGTTCTCCAGCAGACAGCCCCGCATTGTGGGCCTTGCAGGGAGCTCTGCCAGGCCCCCTATGCATATCCCCGCCCCAGCAGGCTCACCGGGCTTCTGCAATGAAAGGCGATGATCTCCAGCACTGAGTTCTCCTCCCAGCTGTCCACAGAGGCCAGGTCATACAGCGACACCCGGACAGGCCCGTAGCACCACTCAGTGAACTTTCGGGAAAGGGGCTGGCATGGCCCCGGGAACTCCCGCTGCAGGATGTGTCTGAAAATCTGCAGGGTGGGCCACGTGAGCTTGGCCACCCTCCCGGCACTGACTGGAAGGCTGGGAAACACTCAGTACCCTGCAGAGCTGGCCACTGTCTGCAGAGCTGCGGCAGACACGTGCACACGCCCCATACATATGGGTTCTAGCATGTATAAACTCTTACATATATCCACACACACTCAGGCACAGTGTAGATATTCCCACCCACCCACATATGCCCAGGCCTGCCGGCCAGCCTGGCTCTCCCTTCCCCACTCATGCTCCGAGGCCTGTTTCCTGGACTCCTCACATGGCAGAGGGAGCCCTAGCCCAGGGGTCCTTAAGGCCCCTTGACATCAGAGGCTACCAGCTACACACGTGTGTGCACTTCAGTGGTCAGAGTCCAGAGCTTTCAACAGACTAGAAAGGGTCCCTAACTCAAACAGGTTAAGAAACAATTTGGTTTCACAAATGAGGAATGGGGAGACAGAAGGGCCAGACTGGGGAGCTGCTTGCTTGGGCCACACAGCCATACGTCTAGACAACAAAGGAGGTTCCCACAGCCCAGGAACCTTGGAGGGCAGGAATAAAATAGTAAGGCTTCTATTTATGTTTATTTTTGTCTTAACCTTTAAAAATCCCTGTGTTCTAAGCATGGCGTGCTATATAAACCGCACAGGTTGGACACCCATGAATCCCCCTTATAATAAGGATCAAACAACTGGTAAGCCATTTGGAAAAAAAGTAGAGCTGGATCATGCTTACTCTTTGTACCAAAATAACTTCCAGATAAATCAAAGTTTTAGGCATTAAAAATGAAACTGTAGGGCGGGCCCCGTGGCTTAGCGGTTAAGTGCGTGTGCTCCGCTACTGGCGGCCCGGGTTCGGATCCTGGGCGTGCACCAACGCACCACTTCTCCGGCCATGCTGAGGCAGCATCCCACATACAGCAACTAGAAGGATGTGCAATTATGACATACAACTATCTACTGGGGCTTTGGGGGGAAAAAAAAAAAAAGGAGGAGGATTGGCAATAGATGTTAGCTCAGAGCCGGTCTTCCTC